TCGCCTAAGCCCGACAGGTCAAGGCTATGGTTGCTGTGAGCATGCCACTGCACTCCAGCCTGGGCAACAGTGAGATTCTGACTCAAAAATAAAATAAAATAAATATAAAAACTCTTCCTGGAGTTATTTCCAAACAGAACTTGCCTCTAATTCTAACAAGAATTACGAGAGAGAGAGAATATTACAAAATATAGATTTTTTTGTTTTTTAAATCTTATGGTAGGCCAGGCTTTGGTGGCTCAGCCTGTAATCCCAGTACCTTGGGAGGCCAAAGCTAGTGGACTGCCTGAGTCCGCAGGTTCGAGACCAGCCAGGGCACCTTGGCAAGACCTCGTCTCTGCAATAAATAAATAAATAAACAAATAAGCCAGGAGTGGTAGCCCATGACTGTTGTTCCAACTACTTGGAAGGCTGAGGTGGAAGGATCACCGAAGCCCAGCAGGTCGATGGTGGGGTGGCCGTGAGCATGCCACTGCACTCCAGCCTGGGCAACAGTGAGACTCCAACTCAAAAAAAAAAAAATCTTAGGGTAAATGTGGCAGCCACAAGCACCACTGGTGAGTGCCCTCAGGTTAAACAGGGAAAGGCTAAGGGAATTCTTTTTTTTTGAGTTGGAGTCTCACTCTGTCACCTAGACTGGAATGCAGTGGCTGCTCCCGGCCACCGCAGCCTCGACCTGCTGGGCTCCGGCGATCCTTCCGCCTCAGCCTTCCAAGTAGCTGGAACTACAGGCGTGCACCACTACACCCGGCTAATTTTTTTATTTATTGTAGAGATGAGGTCTTGCCAAGTTTCCCAGGTGAGTCTCGAACCCGCGGGCTCAGGCAATCCACTCACCGCAGCCTCCCAAAGCATGGGATTATGGGTTAGAGCCACTGAGCCCAGCTAGGGAATTCTATAATAGACATCTTGGTAAAGTAAATAACTTGTAAAGACAGCCATTTATTTATCATTTTGATAGCTGGGATTTCCATATCTCAAATTTATTTAAAATGTGGACCATTCAGAGAAATACAAAATGTACTACTCCAAATTCTATTTTTACTTGAACCCACTCAAATTCATACATATCATTCCTTTCTCTTCCTGAATATCCTCCTCACTAGATGAAGAGAAAACAAATACAAAAAGGATCTCCAGTTCCCTTCATAAAGATATTTTCTCAAAGCTCACATAAAAAAATGAAAAAAAGAAAGATGAAGTCACTTCCTTACTGTCCTTCTCTATGAATTTCAGCAAAGCACTACCTGATTTTCGGGCCTGATTACTCTTAGGCCCTGCAGGTATGAGATATCTGCTTTCATAGCATGTCATTGATGAATCGCCACATTTCATTTCAGATATTTAAATCTTTTCTTGAGTGTATTTTTCTGAATCAGGGTATTACCACAATGGCCTCACTTTAAGTTTTTGCTAAAATAAAGAAGGCTTTATAAGTTAATTAGGCCATTCAATTGTTTCTATCTGCTTCTACAAAAGGTTCTAAAGTGAAAAAAATAAAATAAAAACTTTCTTATAAACAGTGATCCTGGGCCTCTCAAATTACATGAAATCTCATTTCTCGTATTACTTCAAGGGTCATTAAGTGCAGGCAAATTTTGTGAAATAGAAGTCTGCTTATATAGCCAACAAAGCCAAATGCTTTTAAGACTATTGCCAACTGCCTTTGGTTTCAGTAGTACTTCATCTAGATAATATTGCCTATCTTTTTTTTTTTTACCCCGAATAACTAATAATCTTGTCATGAAACCAAAGGCCTTCAGAAATATACACAAGTTTCTTTTTTCCTTCCTCCTTTTCTTCCTTCCCCCCCCCTCTTTCTTTTCTTCAACAACTTGGGCTGAAAGAATCATACATCCACTGATAACAATACAGAACCTAACTTTAAGAACTCTATTCATTTCACAGGGAAGCCTTCATTTTATAGGCCTGGAAACATCTTGATTGATATCTCGAAGGTTCCGGACTCTTGTGAGCAGAACTTGCCCAATGTCAACTTGACAACATTATAGTACTGGCTTCCACCTTTCCCCCTATAGAGCAATGGATCCAACACCATGATTCTCTAAGTACATCATGAAAAGAAATCATTCCAAGTGACTAGTGAATACATATTTGCATTGTAAAACAGTCCATACTAGCCTCCCATTATAAAGCAGACTGTAACCTAGTGTGATTCAAAACACGCTATAAAAGAAACCACTCATTTCTCAGTAATTTGCCAAATATTTTGAGCTACTTATGAACTTGAGATTACAAATGTTACTTAAAGATGCTCTTGCATATACTGGATGTAAAAGTTGGCTATGGATTGAATAGGATAAGGCTAAGATGTAATGAATTTTCCAGAGAAAGCTGTTAAATGTGATCTTTCAAACTGTTCTTTGAAGTGTGTCAAAGAGAAACAATGTGATAGAAAGAAAACTATTCTCCAAGGCAAAACCTAGCTATGCTGTTCACTAGCTATGTGATTCTGGGGAAGTAATTCAGCCTTTCTGAGACACAGCTTCTTTCTCTGTTTTTCAATTTTTTAGATTTTTTTGAGTCAGAGATTCACTCTGTCACCCAGACTATAATGCAGTAGCATGCTCAGGGCCACTGCAGCCTCAACTTGCTGGGGTCAGGCAATCCTTCTGCCTCAGCCTTTCAAGTAGCTGGGACAACAGGCATGCACCACCATGCCTGGCTAATTTTTTGAGTTATTGTAGAGATGAGGTCTCACCATGTTGCTTAGGCTGGTCTCGAACCCCTGGGCTCAAGCAATCCTCTCACCTTGGCCTCCCAAAGTGCTGGGATTACATGCGTGAGTCATTGCACCTGGGCCTGTTTGTCAAATTTTTTAAAAACCTACTTTCCAATGTGGTTGTGAGGATGAAATAAGATAATGGATGAAAAAGTGCTGCATAAACTAGAACATGCCATATAAAAGTCAAGAAGCTCACTCTGTAGAGGGGAAGAAAATCATATTTAATACATTAATAATAAATAATACCTACGTGCTCAGATACTATGGGAGAGGCGAGGAGGGAGTGTGCTATCTCGGCCTAAGAGAGAGCAGAGGTCACAGAGGAGGCTGGGTCTAACTAACCTGGGGACAGAGGAGGGATGGATGAGAAGGACTTCTGTGCTGAAGAGGTGCTGGGGGAGCAACCTAAACCAGAGCACACAGGTTGTGGTGGGGCAGGGGTGTGGCCTCTCAAGGCACTGTGGGGCTGCAGCACAGGGTGGTTAGGGGCTTGGTAGGAGATAAAGGCAGGGAGAAAGGTGAGCACCAGATCAGGAAGGGCCTGTGAGCCACACCGAGAAGTCTCAACTGCATCTGTCCTTTGGATGGGAGCCAGGAACACAAAGGCCAAAACAAACAAGCAAATCAGAACGACGTAGACTTCTGGTTTACCATTATGTCCTATAAACCATGAGATTTCTGCTCTGGTTATGTGCTCTGGACAATAAATACATTGAGATGTAGCTTTGACTGTAAATGTATAAAAAGAAATTGCGATATGTTTATGGAGTCCCTACTCTGGGAACCACTGTGCTAAACTCCCTGCATGTATCGTTTATCTTCAAAACACAGCTGTAAGGTGGGCACTGTCATCCTCATTTACATATCAGAAAACTGACACTCGAGAGATGAGAGATCAGATAACGGCCAGACACAGTGGCTCTCGGTAATCCCAGCACTTTGGAAGGCCGAGGCAAGAGGATTGCTTGAGCCAAGAGTCCAAGACCAGCTGGGCAACATAGTGAGACCTCATCTCTACAAAAAAAATCAAAGTCTAACCAGTTGTGGTGGCACGTGCCTGTAGACACAGTTACTTGGGAGGATAAGGTGGGAGGATCGCCTGAGCCTAGGAGGTCAAGGCTGCAATAAGCCTCTGCACTCCAGCCTGGGTGACAGAGTGAGATTTTTAACAGAAAAAAGATCAAATCTCTTTTCCAAGTTCCAAGAACTAGTAAGTGGCAGAGAAAGCATTCGAAATTAAATTAACCTAGCTATTGCAGCCAAAACTTCAAAGAAAAAACAAGAAAATTGATTTTTTACAGTTAGATGAAAACTTGATTCCAACTACTTATGAATATTTTGACACTATAAAAATGTACTTATTGAAAATTTTAAAAATTCTTACCTCAAGTATTCTCTCCCAACATTTACATGTTTCTTTCTCTATACAAAGTATGCAATATTGATTTGCTTAAAACCTGATACATACAGATATAGTCTATTCCAATAGCTGTTGATCTCCATCGCCACCCAAAGTCAAGAAGCAAATCATTCAATACAGATTTTTAATTAAAAGGAAAATATCAGAAAGAAAGTCATTTTGGAATCTTTTTCATAAATGACTCAAAATCTATGACTTTAAGTCACATTCTAAAATTGTTGCATGATACTGTTCATAATCTTAAAGCTACTTTAAAACACATAGTTCCGCACATATTTTTAAAGACTTGCTACAGTCTTATTTCTGCTGTACTAGCTAATTTGAGTCAACTCCAAGATTTGTTTTCTCAACAAAGATGGAAAGTTCAGTGACTAGTGAATTTTCAAAATACAACACAAAAAGGACTTTTTAAAAAAACCTTGACTTCTTATATGCTCGCACATGCACACATGCTTAAAATGTTATTCATTTATCTTGTTACTACTCCTCCCTGCTACTAGGGCAAAATAAGGATGTGCATTTAAAAGACACAAAGTAAGCACAAGCAATGCCAAGCAAACTAGCGGTAACTATTCAATTTTCACTTTAAGTAAAATACATACACTCAGAGTAAGAAACGGGAGATACCAAATTTCTTTCAGGTATTCCTTACTTTCCTAGGGAGCTGAGATCGCAATAAAGACATTTAAGTATACAGCAAGGTTTCTACAGTGAAAAAAATACCGATATATTTAAAAGTCACCCTAAGACAGACAGAAACCAATATGATTTGGAACAAGATGGGAATAAGGTTTCCGCCGTGTCTGTGAATGTTACCCACATAATCTTACTTACCTTGCAGTGAAATATGGAGATCATCAATGCCCAAGGAAGCAGGTTCATCTTCGGTGGGAAGCACAGGGCTAGATGCCATTCTTCGACTCAGTGGAGATTATGCTCTGTCCATCTCAGTTAAAGAAGTGAACTGAAAGCAAAACGGATAAATGTTCATTAGAAACTCTTCAGCCCTACATTTCTAGTAAACACGCATTGCCAGAGAACAGCAGCAATCCAAAACTGCCCTCCAAAACAAGCACAGCTTTCTGGTGAGTGTGTTTCCACAGTTCATGAAGAACAAGTGATCACACCTTCTTTTTGAATCATAACCAAGATGTTGCTCTGTGACCTATTCGCACTCTTTGGAGTTGCTTTCAGAACTCAAAAAGAACCAGTGTGTGGATTCCACACTCATGGTGAGGAGGAAAGCTGTGCAATTAGATTTGATAACTTGTCTACAGGAAGTCAAATTGACACAAACTGATATCTTAGGCGTTGATGTGTATGCTGTTGCTAACCTTCAACCTGAAAGAATTTTCTTTAAAACTTTTTTTTTATCTTAGTTCCTTTTCTGCCCCATGAATGTTGCCATTTACTGGAAACAATAAGAACTGAGCCTGCATAACTTGCAAAAATGAAACTAAAATAACAAACATATCAAAAAGATATTTTGATGAGTTCTCTAATGTATTGAATTATTGTCCCAAGGGCTTAGTGTTCCACCTACCCATTTCTTCCCCTCACCTCACCTCGATTCTTATAGAATCTTTCCAGTAAGAACAATTTTTACTCCCTAACTCTTTGAAAGCATTGCTTCATGTACGTATAGATCACTGTTAGTTTTTGGAGGCTCGGAATAAAACACTGACTTCTCCCATTAAAATGACCAAGTAATAACATAAAACCTAACCAAACATAAAAATTTTAAATGGATTAGAGGATGGATAGAGGGATGGATAAACTGATTAGGCAAGTACTACAAGACATTCATGTTAGAATCTACGTGCTGAATAAATATATGAGTATTCACTGTGAAATCCTTTAACTTTGCTGTCTGCTGGAAATTTTCCACGATAAAATGCTGGGGGGGAGCCTTAAAAAAAAAATTAATCCAAGGCCAACAGCTAGATACAATCAATCCTATTAAATATTAAATAGACCAAGAAATGCAAAGAATAAAAATCATTAAACAGCTCATGCTAGAGCAAACTTCAAAAATCTCTCCATCCTGTCTTCCCCGATGTTTAATCATCAAACCCCTTTTATTATCTCCCTCGTGGATCACTGTTGTTAAAGGTTAGACCTATCAAATAAGCTCTAAAAATTAATGATTAATTTGTTTATCCTCTGAATGAAAATGAATCAGAACCAGCCTGAGGTAACAGAGGTGCTATTCTGAGTTGATACAATTCTAATCAAAAGGAAGGACTGGTTATTAGTTCACCATGAGGTGGGCAGTCAGAAGACTAATAAAGATGTAAGTGACCTCCGCTTTGTGATGTACATAGGACTTCCCCTCCCCATACCCTGGAGCTCCTTAACCCAAAGTGCAGGCAAAGCACTTCTTCATTCTGACAGCAGAAAAACTGAATTCCAGAATGAATTTCCTAAGGGCACCTGCTATTACATGCTATAACTATTATTTTTTAAAAGGATAATAACAATAGTAGCAACCACTTATTGTTGCATTTACTATGTACCGTTCTGAGTACCTGGCATATACAACTTCATTTAATCTTTATAACAACTATAAGAGACAAGAACTATAATTATCCCCCCCCCCTTTTCTTTTACTTTTGTTTTTTGAGTTGGTGTCTCACTTTGTGGCCCAGACTGGAGTACAGTGACATGATCATGGATGACCACAGCCTCAATCTCCTGGACTCAGACAATCCTTCTGCCTCAGCCTCTTGAGTAGCTGGGACTACAGGCACATGCAACCTCACCCAACTAATTTTTTTTAATTTTTGTAGAGAAGAGGCCTTGCAACATTGCCTAGGCTACCCACTCTCGAGCTCAAGTAATTCTCCCACCTCAGTCTCCCAAAGTGCTGGGGATTACAGGTGTGAGCCACCCAACGTGCCTGGCAATCATCCCCATATTTGAAAGACTAAGAGGCACAAATATGGTACATGATTGTCTAGGGACACACACTAGTAAATGAGGTTGCCAATATTCAAATCCTGGTGGTTTTGGCTTCAAAGTCCATGTAGTCCCAGTTATTCAGTTGGCTGAATCAGGAGGATCACTGGAGCCCAAGAGTTTAAGGCCAACCTGGGCAACACAGTAAAATCCCACCTCTAAAAAAACTGTTTCAATAAAAAATAAAATTGCAGGAAACAAATTAGATAAAATATGGTCTGGGCTCAGTGGCTAAGCCTGTAATTCCAGCACTTTGGAAGGCCAAGGCGAAAGGATGTGATTGAGTCCACGGGTTTGAGACCAGCCTGGGCAACTTGGCGACACCTTATCTCAACAACAACAACAACAAAATTAGCTGGCATGGTAGTACACGCCTCTAGTTCTGGTTACTTGGAAGGCTAAGACGGAAGGATCGCCAGAGCTCAGCAGGTTGACACTGGGGTGACTGTGAGTGTGCCACTGCACTGCAGCCTGGACGACAAAGTGAGATGCCAAATCCAAAAAAAAAAATTAGATAAAATAACACCAAAAAAACCTATCTAAACCTTAAAGTAACTAGATGTCTGAGAAGTTTTTGTTTTTAACTATGAAAATTCATTAGCAAACAGGTCAATAAAATATAATTTATAATTCCTTATCTCCTAGAGAATTTCTTAGAGCTTCTAGAAATGTCCATCAAAGGTAAAACGAAACTTTGAAGACTGAATCAACTGAGCTAGATTATTGATCCAAATACTCACTTAGTACTCTTATGTTTTATTTTGTTTTTTTAGTTGGAGTCTCACTCTGTCGCCCAGACTGGAGTGCAGTGGCCACTCCTGGCCACCGCAGCCTCGACCTGCTGGGCTCCGGCGAACCCTCCGCCTCAGCCTTCCGAGTAGCCGGAATTACAGGCATGCGCCACCACGCCCTGCTGATTTTTTGATTTATTGTAGAGATGAGGGCTTGCCAAGTTGCCCAGGCGGGTCTCGAACCCGCGGGCTCAGGCAATCCACTCACCTCAGCCTCCCAAAGGCACAGGATTACAGGTTGAGCCACCGAGCCCGGCAGTACTCTTATTTATCAAAGCATGCAACAGAGGTCACAAAAATGTGACTGAAGACAATGTGTGATGACATTTCCAACACAATTGCTTTTGGTGAGAAACCGTTGACATCTCCACAGAAGAATTTACTTGTCAAATAGGCCCATTAAAAACTGGAGCCAAGTACAGAAGAAAATCTTCAAGAGATTTCTCAGGATTTGAATTGAGAAGCTAGAAATAGTATGAAAAAGGAAGGCAGAGTGAGGAGAGAGGATTTGGCCAAGGGCTAGTGTGAGTCGCAGGAGTCCCTGTCCACCAAACTCTTCAAGACTGTCCTATCTATACTGTGTCCCGACTCCCCTGAGAGGGAATGGGGGCTGCTTCCTCCCACAAATCCCAGCCCAGAAAGCGCTCTTCTCAGGCACTCCTCACAGCTTTACTTTTCCTTTTCAAATAAAAGTTACCACAGTCATAATGCCAGGGTTTAGAATTAAAATAAATAAGACAATTCTTAAAAGTGAATCGCATCTCCAGGAACATAACCAAAGGTTGGGTAAAGAATAAATGTCCTGACATTAAAGCTTTTAAGATTAAGTGGAACAATGTGGAATCGCGGTTTAAGAATTCATGTAAATTAATACACATACTTTTATAAATGGCATAAGCTATTTTGAAATAACTGTGGTTTGCTTATGCAATAGATCTTAATATGCCTGTGGTATCTCTAAAGGCTCAAAACACTGGTGAATTTCCCTTTTTTAAAAAAATCTCGGACCAGGCACAGTAGCTCACGCCTGTAGTTCCAGCACTTTGAAATGCCAAAGTGAGATGACCGCTTGATCCTAGGAGTTCAAGACCATCCTGGGCAACATAGTGAGACGTTGTTCTACAAAAATATCAACAAATAGCTGGGTGTGACGGCATGTGCCCATAGTCCCAGCTATTAAGGAGGCTAAGTTGAAGGATCACCTGAATCCATTAGGTCAAGGCTGTGGTGAGTCATGATCGTGCCACTGTCCTCCAGCCTGGGCAACAGAGTAAGATCCCAACTCAAAAAAAAAAAAAATACAATAAGAAATCTTGACACTTAATTCCAATTATGATTAGAATGTTTTCAACTAAAAAGAGAAAACTGAATAGGCATTTCAAATGAACTTGAGATTATGGGTGATGATTTTTATATTCTTCTTTTTGCATTTGTATTTTGAAAATTTCAAATGATGGATGCATATTTCAGCTGAAATAAGAAAAACATTTCACTTTTATTTTGATAAAGTGACCGTGAAAGGGGGGATAAGGTATTTAGTTCAGGTTCAGTTCTTCAATTCATATGCTATTGAATCTGTGCACCGATATGCCTTTAGAACGAGGAGAAAAGTATTCTCATGACAAATGAAATATTTTCAAAATTCCCTGAGCTTATAAGAAATTTCCAGAAAATACTTTCAAAAGCCGCCTTGGTAGTTCAATAGGTCTTCCATGTTCTTATTATTAGGTAGTTTGTTAACAAGCACTACCAGTCTAGCAGCTATTAAAAAATCTCTTGGCTGGGCACAGTGGCTCCCGCCTGTACTCCCACCACTTTGAGAGGCCAAGGCAAGAAGATTGCCTGAGACTGAAGGTTCACAACCAGCCTGGGCAACTTGGTGAGGCCTCATCTCTACAATGAATCACAAAAATTAATCAGGCGGGGAGGTGCATGCCTATAGTTCCAGCTACTTGGAAGGCTGAGGCGGAAGGATGGCTGGAGCCCAGCAGGTCGAGGCTGTGGTGGTCATGAGCATGCCACTGCACTCCAGCCTGGGTGACAGAATGAGACTCCAACTCAAAAAAAAAATTTCTTCAACAGTGAGAAAGAAGCACCTATCCTATCTTCAAAGGTGAATCATTGCAAGATGCACTCAGTACATTCAAGTACTTCTTTAACAGAGTGATTCAAAAGCCAGCATTTTCCCTGGGGTGTACTTTCTTCTTTGTTTTGTT